GGGGGGTTCTTCTACTTGTCAGTCCTGTAAACATGAATTTTACAACGGACTTGTTGTAAAAGCTCTTTGAGAGTAAAGCTTGCAAGCACGTGGTTGGCCGACGCTCTTGTGAGGTTTGCTCCTTCTTTTTTTCAGAAAAACATCTATCGTCCTAATCTCCCCTTCTTTTTTTGTGTTTGTTAGTCTCTTCTGACACCACTTATCTTCGGCACTTATATGACTTAATTATGATACAAGCGCCATAAAACTCTTACTAATTCTAAAGACTACACAGGTGATGATTACTGATGCATCTTTGCGTGATTTATATTGCGTTTACTTTCAATGAAAACTGTAAATGACAGACCAACCAAACCAGAATCAATTCTAAGTCTATTGATGAATCCCTCCCTCCAATTCCACGGAATAGCCCCCTTGATTGTCCCCCAACAGCAAGCACTGAAACCAGAAGTGCCATAAATACCATGTCTTTCAATTCGGCCGCTGGCGCGGATTCTATTCCTGCAGATGTCTTTGCTTCAGGTGGAGACCGTCTTGTTGAAACACTGACAGAACTATTCTGTCAAATGTGGGAATGTACCAGGGGTACAGGGATACAACTATCATTCATCTGTACAAAAATAAAGGTGACAGGTAATCATGTAACAATTACAGAGGCATATCCCTGTTGTATGTACATGTATAGCTGGGAAAATCCGGGCTCGAATTCTTCCCAGTCGCCTGTTGAAGCATCTTTCTTCAAATGGCATTTCACCTGAAAGTCAGTGTGGCTTCCACACTAACATAGGCACAGTATACATGGTCTTTGCAGCCAGACAGATCCAGGAAACGTGGATAGAGCAGAATAAAACCTTATACCTTATGTTGATCTAACAAAGACCTTCAATACTGATAGTCGGGAAGACCCTTATGGAAAATCCTAGCGAAGTACGGTTGCCCGCCAATCTTTATAACTGCGAGTATGGTTCGCCAATTTCATGACGACATGAAAGCCAGTGTCAAGAGAAATAACAAGTCTGAAGCAGTTTGCGTGACAAATGGGGTGAGAAGCATAGCTCTCCTGCTGGCGTTGGGCGTCAAGTACAGACTGGATGGCATAATCTTCAACTCTCATAAGCTGCAGGTAAAAACTAAAACTAAAATGATGCTTGTCTGTGAACTACTATTTGCCGATGATTTGGGCAGCCCTTACTCATGAAGAATCCAGCATTCAAAACTGCTGATCATTTTTCAAATGCATGTGAGAACGTTGGACGTACAATAAGCACAACAGAGACAGAAGTTCTCTGCCAGACTGTCCAAGGTAATACGCAGACTCTTCTTCCTAAAATCAAAATACATAGAACAACAATGTTGATAGTTTTAAGTATCTCGGCAGTACACTATCTTCAAATGCCTACACCAATGCAGAAATAGTTTTACGTATGAATAAAACTAGTGCGTCCTTTGGAAGACTCTAAGCAAAAGTTTGGGACTGCTGAGGCATTCGCACAAAGATGAATTTGAAAGTCTACAATGCTGTGGTTCTCCCTACCCTGCTGTATGGTCCTGAGAAGCTTAATCATTTCCATGTGACATGCCTCAGGAAAAATCTTCGAATCAAAAGATAGGATTAAATACCAGACGTAGACACTGAAGTTCTTAAAAGGGTAAATGCTGAGAGTCTGTTTTCTAAGCTAAAAAAGGACTCAACTTCGATGGGCTGGCCATTTCGTAAGAATGACTGATTTCAGAATCTCGAAGACAGTGTATTATTCTGAACCATTCTCAGGGGATCGTAAGATTGGGGCACTCAAAAAAAAAAAAAGAAGAAAACTTAAATAAAATTAAATAAAACCGCTGCAAGGACACCCTGAAATAAGTCTCTGAAGGACTTCAATATAAAGATCCTTCGACATGGGAGAGCCTTGTTCCCGACAGACCCAGCAGGAGAGCAGCAGTCACAGTGGGCAGCAAATCATAATATTATTATGAGGCTTCACGAACAAGAAATGCTGAAAACAAGAGAATCTCGCAAAGGTGCGCAGTGCACACATCCACAATTAGTGGAAATGGAGCCTTTAAAAGTTCAAAATGGGGCAAATTTTTCTCTGCTAGAATTGGTTCCATCGGTCACAGCAGAAGCCACATA